CTCTGTATCATGGCCACAACATTTCTGCCCAACTCAATTGCCATTGACTCAAGGCTTATTAAGAGGACAAAGATGGTACTGGTGTCTTTTAAATGTAAACTTAAAATGATGCCTCTTCCTCTCGATAATACCCCCTACCCCATTTCACACAATTCCTCATCACTGACTATCTCTTGCTGGTCCTGAGCCTCAGTACAAACTGCTGTTCTCTTTCCTCAATTCCTTGTATTGTATTGTTCAACAAGGAAAACGAGTGACTTCAGATACAATTGCACAAAGTCAACTAGTACATGCTGTTATGATACCAAATTTTCCTTGGGTGGAGGTAGTTATTACGAGGGGGCATAGTTTTAAAGTGAGTGGAGGTAGATATAGGGGAGATGTCAGAGGTAGGTTTTATACTCAGAGTGGTAGGGGCATGGATTGCATTGCTGGAGAGGGTAGTGGAGTTGGCCTCATTAGGGGCATTTAAGCGGCTATTAGATAGGCATATGGATGATAGTATAAGGTATGGGTGGAGGTTAGATAGACCTTCGGTTTAGGGTAAAAGTTCGACACAACATTGTGGGCTGAAGGGCCTATACTGTGCTGCACTGTTCTATGTTCTATGTTCAAATAAGAGTAATAATGAACAAGTCAAATATCATAATGAAGCCTGGCTTTATCATATATTTAACTTTTGCAATAGGTTAAAGTGATAGTTAATCACTGATACATATTTACTTGAGTCTACAGATGTTTCTTTACAAACAGTTGTCAAAGAATAGTTAATGTAAGTTTATTACACAAAAGAAGAACAAACAAAGCTATGTACATACAGTGAAGATAGTTAGAAAGATCTTATCACAAACTTCAAATTTTTGACAGTCTGTCTTACGGAAACTCAGTTGCAGAGAAATATCACTTCTATCTCAGATTTTTAATTCTTTACTTAACCGACTTTTCCAGTTTCTTTTTATGGAACAGTGGAATTATTTCCAGCTCGGCTGGCATGATCATGTCTGACGACGTAAACTTTCTCAGCTTGAACAACTTGAAGATTTCGATCCAAAGCTTGGAAATTCCATTTTTTCTAGCATTTCTCTCATGCCAAGGTGACTGGTCTGTTGAACTGACTTAATTCTCCTGCTACAAACACTATTTTACCTTCTAAATTGCACTCTGAATTCTTCTGAACTAAATTTTTAAACCTTCTATTCTGAAGTCAAAATTAAACCAGGTTGTATTAGTGTGTTTACTCTATCAGGCATAAACACAAGTGTAAAACATATATTCCAGGTGCTCTCTCTCGTGCAATTTACCCTATGTACTGAAG